AAAAAAAAAAAAACATTTATTTTTATGAATTTACTATTAAAACAGATGATGCACCTATTGGGTTTGAGATGTTTTCTCAGGGCTAAAAGAAAATCCAGAGTTTCCCAATCGCAATTAGGGCTTTGTGGTGACGTTCATGTGCATTCAACTTGTAAATACAATCTTTCCGACGTGACTTGAATGCACCACTGGAATGCACATCCTGTCTGAAACCTCTGAAGCGGCTTCTCAGGTTGAATCAGGCATTCCTCCTGCATATCCCCCAGCCCCTTTTTGCTCTGAAACAAGATGACTTTAGCAGACCTTCTTTCATGTGACCAGAATAGCAATTTACATGCCTCGAGTGGATACTGCGGACAATACACCCCCAATCCATCGTTTTGTGAAACAGCGGTGGAAAACTTAACCTCCCATGCCAGGGGCAGGCGGACGTGAGCATACATTCATTTGAAAGACGATTGGGAAAGCCATGCATCAAAGATGAATGGGCTACATCGGCACTTCTCCTGCCTCCATTATGCTAAATTATTCCAGCTAACTGTTTAGCAAGGTGTGATCTGTCACTATCGGTCACTGCTTGAATTGTGACCCAGCCAGAAGCACCATTACTGAAAAAAAGACCACAGTAAGAGTGATGTACCTTGGACCAGACGATGGTGGGTTTGGGGACCCCACTTGCTTCACAGGACAGGGAGATGGGTGTGCCCTCGTTGGCTGTGTAGTGCAGAGGACCAGCCTTGATATCAGGAGGAGCTGCAAAAGTAGGTCAGAATAGCAGCTGTTCACAAGGCCTTAACAACCAGCGGTTCACAATTAGAACTTCACGCCAAAGATACTTCACAAGGAATCCAGCTTATCGCTTCTAAATATGAAACTCTAATATTAGCATCTATTTTAGCTTCATTAAGGACCAGATGGATTACTGTAATGCTGAACGTACTGCAAAATGATTTTCTTTATACATATTTTTTGTTTTGTTTTGTTTCCATGAATAATAAAAACAATCTTAAGATGAGATACGGGTTACTTGAGAAGTGAAAAATCATTTAATTAATCAGTATTTTGGATGGTTTTTTTTTTAGATATAACAAATCTTAAGTTTTCAGAGAATACAGAAAATATATTTTAAGCATAAACCTCAATAATGTCCTTTTTTCATTTTCTGTATATGAATACATCTTTCTCAAAAAAAAAAATCTCTGAAAACAAGTGTATTAAGTTATATTTTAAACATTTTCATTTTTCAAGTAAATTTATTTGATTTTAGATGTTTGTTCATTGGAAAACACACCAAAATGTTAATAAAACTTGATTTTACTAATAAGTTGGATAAGCCATCATTTGTATTTTTGATTAATTTATAGATTTTTATTTTCTCTTTCTTTCTTTCAATTTCATATCAACGTCTGATTAACATCTTTATTATTATTTAAATAGTATGAATTATTAACTATAATTTTAATTATATATTTTTCATTTTTCTTAAAGATTGTAGATGGAGACTCATGTTCTGACAAATGTAATAAGAGAACCATTTTACCCGTTGCCATTAACGGTTCCCTTTTATGAAATATAAAATAAAGATTACATTTGTTTTATTATTCATTCAAGTTTCTAGCTGTTAGGTAATTAAACCATAAACTATGAGAGATTGTTTGAAACCAGTGTACTTGTTCTTTTAATTTGGGTGTCTAAAAAAAACTTCATCTCCATCTTTCTTCTTCCATTATCTCCTCATTACACTCTTGCGATCATCACGCTGATAAATCTAGACGGTGAAAAAAAAATCAATTATACTCAATGATAACAGGCCCTGCCTACTAACCATGAAGTTCCACTGTGACGGTTATATTGGCTGATCCTGCTACATTGATGGCAGTGCACACATATGTCCCAGCATCACCTGCTCCAGCTCTATCTACATGCAGACTGCCATCACTCCTTAGAAAGACTCTTCCACCAACACGCACCTAGACACAGAGCGATCATACACAATAAAAGAATAATAGTTAATTATAACTAGTTATGGTTAATTATTCATATTTTCCATGAGTTGATTTGCTACATTCCAGACGCTACAACACCTAGTAAGCGTCTCTCTCGTCACTCACTTGTTTTCCATTGTGCGTCCAAACTCTGTCAGGAAGAGGAATGCCATCTAATAACATACAGGGAAGGTTCAAAGGCTGACCGATCATCACTGTGACAGCTGGTGCACCTTGAATTAATAATGGGGGTTCTGCAAACAGGACAGATAATTACTATGACAGTTTATGGTGATGATATTTGTAAAATTAGTTAAGGAGAACAATATATGTTCATACCTAAGCCAGCAACAGTGACTCTGGCAAGAGCCTTGATGGATCCAAACTGGTTTTTGGCCTCACAAACATAAACACCTTCATCATCAACCCAAACACCTGGAGGGAACAGAAGAACACTGATTAGAACATAGAGGACTCTTTTGTAATTTTATCTTATAAACATGTCATTTCATACTTTAGTCATTAACAAACCATTGACCTTAATTATAGTTTGCTGTTAATAATGTGAAATGGATGTGTGGTCGCTAATTAGCTCACATATGGATGTGTTTGTGTGTTTTTTGTTTTTGGTAACGGCTTTACTTCATTAATAAAGTGTCACCTTGACCTTTGCATCAAAGTCAGGATAAAAACAACATACAGAACATTCAGTCAGGAATGTGACTAGTTTAACGATACACACAAATAATAACCTACAATATTTTTCTAATGTCTGTTATTTTAGAGTCATATAGTAGTATAGATAAAGTAGTTAATTTATAGCAGTGATGCACAATATATAAGTACTATATCAGTTATAATCAGATATTAGAGATACTTGACATATCAATGAATATGTAGCAGCCAGTATTGGATCATTTAATTATGGATGCTCATTTCCAAATAAATGCTGTACTAACATACAGATTAATGTTACTAACAATAATAAATTAATTAATAATAAATTCAATCATAAATTGTAAGAATTTTTATTAAATATAATATTACTTAATATTATATATATATATATATATATATATTTATTTAATATCACAATTTTTTTTAATTTGTATTATTGCATTTTTTCATGTTTTTTACATTTAGATGACCTTTGTCATCCTCTAACACTCACTTAAATGTAATTAACCAATTCACATTACTAACACTAACAATAAAACATATCATATAAATTAAATTTTATTTAAAAAAATTAATCTTAAACTAAGATGAATCGTCTCAGGTTACGTATGTAACCCTAGTTCCTCGAGGGAACGAGACGCTGCGTCGACAAACGCTAGGGGAACGCCTTCCGCGATCCACGCTCTGAATCGTATGTGAAATCAGTCCAATAGCTGAACGGGACGTCACGGCGGATGACGTCATGACCAGGAAGCTATAAAAGCACGTGCGGCGGAGCCCGCGTCAGCTTCTAGGAATGAAGCAAGCGCCGGCAGGGACGCCGGAAGTATGGCACCAAGACGCAGCGTCTCGTTCCCTCGAGGAACTAGGGTTACATACGTAACCTGAGACGTTCCTCTTCAGGAACTCGAGCTGCGTCGACAAACGCTAGGGGAACGAGAATGCCCACGCCGCCAGACTTCCAATTCCCTGCCTAGTGTGGAAGACTGCACAGCTAGGGTGAGAGAACGGAAGAGCCGGGAGTGGCTCGCATGTCTAGCTCATAGAACCTAACAAAGGTAAGGGGCGTTGACCAACCCGCAGCGTTGCAGATGTCCTGCATAGGCACCCCTGATAGGAAGGCCTTAGAGGCTGCCACACTTCGCGTCGAGTGAGCCTTGACCCCTAACGGCGAGGGGAGATCAGAGGACTCGTAACATAAGGAGATGGCATCCACTATCCACCGACTGAGGGTCTGCTTAGTTGCTGGAAGACCTCTCTTAGGAGGACCGTAGCACACAAGCAACTGGTCCGCCCTCCTCCACAGGGCAGCTCTGTGGACGTATGCATCCAGTGCTCGCACTGGACACACACAGTTAAGCTTCTGCTGGTCTGGTTCCCTAAAGGGAGGAGGACTGAAGGCCTGAAGTACAATGGGCTGTGGTGCTGAAGAGGGGACTTTCGGGACATACCCCACCCGAGGGTACAGAAATACTTTGGCCAGACCGGGCGCAAAGTCAAGATAGGAAGGGGCCACTGAGAGGGCCTGTAAATCCCCAACTCTCTTGAGAGAAGATATTGCCAGAAGAAAGGTAGTCTTAATTGAAAGATGGCGATCAGAGATATCTTCGATAGGCTCGAATGGAGGCTTACAGAGAGCCTCTAGCACCACTGCTAGGTCCCAAGAAGGGACACGAGATCGTACCGGAGGCCTCAGCCTCAGCGCACCGCGGAGGAAACGTGTAACCAGGGGGTGCCCCCCCACTGAAAAGCCACCAAGAGGGGCGTGGTAGGCCGCAATGGCCGCCACGTAGACCTTCAGGGTGGAGTGGGTTAACCCTGTAGAAAACCGGGCCTGCAGGAACTCCAGTACTGTACCAACTGGGCAGCTAGCTGGGTCGAGCTGGCGGTGTCTACACCAGGAAGTGAAAAGCTTCCACTTCCAGGCGTACAGTTTCCTCGTGGAGGGAGCTCTGGATTGGAGGATGGTCTCAACAACCTCAGTCGAGAGACCGGAAGCTACTAGCTGGGCCCCCTAAGGGGCCACAGCCATAACTTCCACAGCTCCGGGCGGGGGTGAAATATCGTGCCCTCCGCCTGCGAGAGGAGGTCCCTCCTGACGGGAATCTCCCATGGAGAGCCGTCGAGAAGAGAAATCAGGTCCGAGAACCATACTCGGCCTGGCCAGAACGGGGCTACTAACAGTAGACGGACTCCATCGTGGCGCCCTCTCTCCAGAACTCCTGGGAGCAGAGCGATCGGGGGAAAAGCGTACAGGCAAAGCCTCGGCCACGCCTGCACCATGGCATCCAGCCCCAACGGAGCTGGATGAGTCAGAGAGTACCAGAGGGGACATTGCGATGTCTTCTGAGTCGCAAACAAGTCCACCTGAGCCTGGCCAAAAATACTCCATATCTGCTTCACCACCTCGGGGTGAAGCATCCATTCCCCGGGCCTCGGCCCCTGCCTCGACAGGATGTCTGCTACCACATTGAGACGCCCAGGAATGTGCATCGCTCTCAGCGAGAGGAGCCTCTCCTGGGACCACACAAGGATCTGGTGTGCCAATTTGTATAAACGGCGCGAGCTCAGACCTCCCTGGTGGTTTATGTATGAGACCACTGCTGTGTTGTCGGTGCGCACCAACACATGGTGACCTCTCAGGTCCGAGAGAAAGTGTTTCAATGCCTGAAATACGGCCAGCATCTCCAGACAATTGATATGCCACGTCAGATGGCGACCACTCCACAGACCGCGGGCAGGGTGGCCACTCATGACCGCACCCCAACCGGTGAGGGATGCATCTGTCGCTAGCGTCACGCGGCGACAAAGAGCTCCCAGCACCGGGCCCTGAGACAAGAACCAAGGCTTCCTCCACATGTCTAAGGCACGTAGGCATCTCCGCGTGACCTTGAACATGCGAAGCGGGTTTCCCCTCGAGGAGAACCCCCTGGTCTTGAGCCACCACTGCAGGGGTCTCATGTACAGCAGGCCAAGAGTAATCACGTTGGACGCGGCTGCCATCAGACCCAGCAGTCTTTGAAACTGCTTGACAGTGAGTGACTGGCCTTCTTTCACTCTCTTGACTGTAGTGAGGATCGACTCGATCCGAGCAGGAGACAACCGTGCCTGCATCGTGGTTGAATCCCACACCACGCCCAGATAGGTGGTTCTCTGTAATGGAGAAAGCACACTCTTCCTGGCGTTTAGTCTTAACCCCAACTCTCTCATGTGAGCGAGAACAACATCTCGATGTTGAACCGCTATCTGCTCTGAAGGAGCTAAAATCAACCAATCGTCGATGTAGTTCAGTATGCGGATGCCCTGGAGTCGCAACGGAGCCAGAGCAGCATCTACACACTTCGTGAAAGTACGGGGTGAGAGTGCAAGGCCGAAAGGAAGAACACGATATTGGTACGATTTGCCCCCAAAAACGAACCTCAGGAACTTCCTGTGACGAGGAAGGATGGAGATATGGAAATACGCGTCTTTCAGATCGATCGTGACAAACCAGTCCTCGGACCTGATCTGGGACACGACTTGCTTGAGTGTGAGCATTCTGAACTTCAGTCGCATGACTGAGCGGTTCAATAAGCGCAGATCTAAAATGGGACGCAACCCCCCACCCTTCTTCGGAACAATGAAGTAACGGCTGTAGAACCCGGAGTCTATCTCGTGCGGAGGGACCACCTCGATGGCCTCCTTCCTTAAGAGAGTAACTAGTTCTTGTTCTAATACCAGAGCCTGCTCGGGACCCACTAGCGTGGGGGTGACCCCGTTGAATCGAGGCAGACGAGAACCGAACTGGATTCCGTAGCCTCTTTCTACAGTACGCAGGACCCATTGAGATACATTTGGCAGTAGCTTCCACGCTGCTAAATAATCTACTAAGGGAATCAGTCTCTCGAGACTGATTTCTGGTGTGCCCAGAACGGCTAGTTCGGTGCCTTGAAGCGTCTGCACGCCGACAGGGGACAACCGAACTAGCTGCTCTGGGGACCTCCGCAGAGGCCGCGAGCCTCTCAGTGCCGCTACGTTGCCGGGCGGTAACTGACAGATATGCTCGCTGGAGACCGCTGCGCCCTGGAACACCGGCAGGGTTGGCAGAACGATCTCCCGAGGGCACTGGGGCGAGATGGGCACCGTGTAATGCGGTGTGACCCTCTCTGCCCCAGAAGGGCCTGCCCTCGCTAGTCCTATACCGAAACCGTCAGGACCGTTTGGTCGAGGACCTCTTCGCCTGAAGGACGGTCCGAAGATCCGGCTTAGGCTTCGAGGCCCCCAACCCAGAGCGCTGCTTCTGCCTCCGGTCCCGACGCGGGGGAACACGGGCGGCAACGCTCTGTTTTTGCGTCTCCCTATGTGAGGAGCTGGTACGCGGTGGGGACTGCTGCCGCCCAGCAGCCCCCGGAGCTGAAATACGGCGAGGAAGGAACCGCTGAAACGCCGCCGCTTGTTTACGGGCCTCCTGGTCCCTGTCGACGACTGCATTAACAGTGTCGCCAAACAGGCCAGAGGGCACAAGCGGGGCGTCGAGAAGGAAGACCCTGTCTTTCTCTTTCATATCAGACAGGGTCAACCACAAATGCCTCTCTGCTGCCACCATAGCTGCCATGGACCGCCCAATGGCGCGGGCGGTCTCTTTGGTGGCACGGAGAGAGAGATCAGCGGTTCTCCTTAACTCTGCGATATTATCAGAGCTAAGCTCCTCGCCCTCATCCAGCTCTTTCAACAGGTCGGCCTGGTACGCCTGTAACACAGACATTGTGTGCAGACAC